CTGGCTGGGGAATTCTGGGAGTTGAAGTCCCCACATCTTAAAGTTGCCAAGGTTGAGAAACACTAATATAGACCAATAAAAACAACAAAAATGCAATTAAGAAACAACCATAGTAAATCCAAAATCCAAAAGCCGAAGCACCTCACACATCATCTTCAATCCCAGAATTGCCTATATTGATCATAGTGAAGAGCAGAAATTGTACTGGATTTCTGAGCACTTCTTGTTTTTTCCAAAGGTCTGGCACTTGCTGCTGTTAAAGTACCAACATTGTGAAAGTAATGAAAAGAATTAATTGCTAAAGCAGATGCTAATGAAAAGAATATGGATGACTGATTGGCCCTTTGTACTCTGGCTGTTGGTTGAGTCCTGGGGTGCGGTGGGGAGCATTATGGAAAGTAGGTGGAGTTCTGACTCAATCTTCTTCTAATCTATCCTGTCAGGTTTAGTGGTGCCCGCCTCATGGAACATCCTCTCCCCCAAAGTGAGGCTGGCTCCATCCCTGTTGATTTTCCGGAAGTCCCCCAAAACCTGGTTATGCCATCAGGCCTGGGGGCCCTAGGGGACCGGCGAGGTACTGAGGTGCCTCCATTGTTATTAACATCTGCTGCCCTCTCGTAGCCTTTGTGCTTTTTTAAATTTGTTTTTCTGAATAATAATTGATTTTTTATACGTTAACTGTTTTATACTTTTATTGTAAAGTCACTTTTTTGTTAGATGGGTGGCCATATAAATTTGATGAATGAATGAATAAATGAATAAATAACAGAAATTACAGAAATTTGGATGATTTGTGCATACTAATTTGTGGATGATTAAATGATGGGTATTTCCATAAAAGAGTACCATTCTATTACTTTATTTCTGATGCTGCCTCTGTGTAAATTTTCTGGGGAGGGTTTAAGACTAAATGTACCAGAAGTAGTGCATGCATACTTATTTTTATATGCACAGATTTTCCTTTTATCTACAGGTAATCCTCACTTACCAATGGTAATTGGGACAGGGAACTCCGTCACTAAGTGACATGGTCGTAAGGCACAATGTCACATGACCTCACTGACTTATGATGGCAGTTCTGGCACTCCCAGTTGCCATTTTTAAGTGAATTCTGCACAGTCACAGTATCCTGCGGTCATGTGATCACCAATACCAATACCAATACCAATACTTTAATGGCCAAGTATAAAACATACACAAGGAATTTATCTTCGGTGATAACAGCAAAATGATCACTATTTGTGACCTCCTGCCAGCTTCCCGATTGACTATGCTTGTCAGAAGCGGGATGCTGCAATGTTGTAATTTCAAGCCAGTTGCCAAGTGCCCAAATCGTGATCGCATGACTGTGGGGATGCTGCGTCGGCTGCAATTACAAGGACCCGTCATAAGTTCCCTTTGTTCAGCACTGTAACTTTAAGCAACCGCTAAATGAGTGGACTTTAAGCAAGGACTACCTGTATTTCCTCAGTTTTCTTCAATGAAAATAAGTTAGGGAAGCAGACAAACATAAAACTTTTTGTTTGTCCCCTTCCCTAACTTATTTTCATGAGATAAGTATTTTTGTTACTGCCATCCTTTGGACCATTACTCATCAGAATATTCTACTGTCAGCTAACTGGATGCTCAGCAGATGTGTTGGGACAGTCACTCCCTGAATTTCCACCCAATTCTGGGAATTAGTATCTCAATTCATTGGAAGAAGAGCAGGTTGAAATCCAATTGAATGCAGTAGTAGTAGCAATATAGCAACATTTCCTGAGTGAGAAATGAAATACTTGCTACACACAGAGATAGAAATCAAAGCTTCAGTAAAACATTTGAGGTAAGAGAAAACATTTTAATAAGGCTGGTGATATTTCTCCATGAGTTAAGGTTTACACTACTGTAGAAGTGCACAGAATCCTTTGTCTGAGGAACACACTTGATTGAGAATTGCTTTTTAGGTCCTCTAAAGTTTCCTCTAAGAACACTGGATGCTCCCAAGCAAAAACCCACACATGTTGCTTTATTTCCAAAAAAGCAGACAGAACATGGCATACCATGGCATAAATCAATGTTTAAAAAAGCCCAGCCCTGAAAGGTGATAATATCAACTCATCTCAAGTACTTGCTATTTACAGCCAGCCCCTGAGATATGAAACAGACTTACTGGAGACTGAGAGAGGAAATGCCAGATCCATTCCTGGCAAGAAACAGAAAGGTGATTGATAATGTTCCCCACAAATGCCAAATTTATAGAGACCATCATTCTAGAAACCAGCCTGAGTAACTGTGGTATGTAGAGCTGGCTGCCTC